CCCGTTCCCAAACCCGACCTCGTGTCCCACATGGAGCGATGGGAAGAGCTGCAAGTCCCAGACCCCCAGTGCTCCAAGGAACAGGAGATGCCAAGAGGCGCCCAAGAAGGTGAGGGTACTCGGAGACCATCTGTGAGGGACCACCCTTTGATTTCACTCCTGGCACTCCAGCAGGTGAATAAAGAGGAGAGGGTAGCTAACTCCCTCATCTTCCATGCTAGGCAGGCTTAGCTTCCTTGAGACACCCCCAGCTCTGGAGATCCAGGGAGGCAGTTTCTCCCCCTTAACCAACATGCAAAACCAGTCTTTCAGGAAGTGTGCGTCTCTTTAACCCCCCCGCTTCCCCTCGGTCTCTGACTGTCCCCTCCCCACTTCATGGGGGCGGGAGTGATTCAGACACAGATCCTCAAAGGTTCCCATTGATTTCAGTAGAAGTTAGGAGTTTGAAGTACCTTTGAGGATCTGGATCTCAGCCCTAGGAAGGTGGGTCTGGCCCACCAGAGGTGGGAGGGCAGAGGTAGCTAGTCCTGGGTGTGCATCTCAAGAGCTCTGACCTGGGCTATTGTCCAGCCACGGTTCCTGACTGCCAGGATATGGAACTGACCCGATAGATGCTGCAGTAACCCTCCGTACATTAGGGAGACAAACATCTAGAGCAGCCATAGATTATTACAGGCCACTCCTGATCCGCCCCCTGGCACCTCCTCTGGGCGTCAGTGCAGCAATGACTCCCATCTGGCTCATCTTCCAGGTGCCGAGATCCCGCGTAGAAGCAAGGAAGAGACTTTGCAGCATGAAAGGGAAGCAGCCAGATGCAAAGGGAATGTGTCCTGTAGACCCAAGGGGGGCAATGGCTGGGTGGAAGGGCAGCAGGATCCCGGACCTCCGGGTTCCATTTGCGTGAAGAGTGGCATGAGCAAAGGGTCAGTGGGTGGCACCCGAAGCCCCATCGCCTGCCCCATGTGCGGGAAGGGCTTCAGCCGCAGGTCGAACCTCACGAAGCACCAGCGGGTCCACACGGGGGAGCGTCCCTTCTGCTGCACCCAGTGTGGGAAATGCTTCACTCAGAGCTCCAACCTCTGCCGGCACCAGAGCCTCCATGCAGCGGGTGAGGGGCCCTGGTGCTGCCCCGAGTGTGGGGAGAGCTTCACAGGGAGCGCGGGGCTGGCCAGGCACCGAAGAACACATGCTGTAGGGGAGAGATCCCACCACTGCCACCAATGTGGGAAAGGCTTTGCTAGCCACTCACTTTTGATCATTCACCAGCGCAGCCACTCGGGGGAGCGGCCGTTCTCATGTGCCCAGTGCGGGCGCAGCTTTGACCGCAGCTCCCTACTGGTGGAGCACCAGCGCACCCACACCGGGGAGCGCCCCTACCGCTGCCACCAGTGCAGCCAGGGCTTCACCCGCGCCACCCACCTCAGCCGGCACCAGCTAATCCACCGTGGCGAGCGACCTCACGGCTGCCCCGAGTGTGGCCGGCGCTTCCGGCTCCGGGCTGCGTTAGTCAAGCACGTGCGGAGCCACACAGGGGAGCGACCTTACAAGTGTGCTGAGTGTGGGGCGGTCTTCGCCAGTGTCTCCTCCCTGGCCCGGCACCGCCGGAGCCACGCCGGTGAGAAGCCCCACCACTGCCCCGATTGTGGCAAGAGATTTGGGCAGAGCACTGCCTTCGCTGAGCACTGCCGCACCCACACTGGGGAGCGCCCCTACCGCTGCCTGGAGTGTGGCCGCGCCTTCGCTGGCAGCTCCAACTTCATCCGGCACCAGAGAATCCACACCGGGGAGCGGCCCTACCAGTGCCAGGACTGCGGCCGTACCTTCCGGGTCAGCTCCAACCTAGCCAGGCACCAGAGGACTCACCACCTTACTGAGTGTGGAGATACTCCCTTGCTGGGACGGGCAGGACAGAGCTAGGGTCACTGGGGGCGTAGGCCTAGGTGGAGCTGAAGGCGGGCGGGGGGTTGGTTGGGGCTGGGGCCATGGCAGGTGTGAGCTGAGATAGTCAGGGCACAAGGCAGGAGCAAGTGGCTGGTGGCTGGATTCTCTGCACCCCTGAGCCAAGCAGCACCCCATGGAGCAGGATCAGACGGCTCGGATCAGAGCTCACCAGGGAAGGTGGTTCCTGCATCTTGCCGCACCAGTCCTCTCTTCCCCGCCTTGGTGCTGAACTCTCCGTCCAGTAGGAAGCGCCGTCTCCTAAACGCTCCTCCCACCAGTACCACCAATTTAGGCTAGGCCTGCTGGGGCAGAGCTCTCTCCTTTCATCATCCCAAGGAAGATAGGGCCCATGTTGGCCCCTGGCTCCAGTCTGCTTCTAACAAGGGCTGCGCCATGGCGACAAACTCAGAGGTGCCCCAGGGGAGTGGCCCTTCTTTGCTGTATAGACCAGCATCAGGCAGGCTGGACCTGCCCTCAGTGCTTCAATTCGCCCAGGGGTCTATGCCACCTCCCACCCCAAGCCAATGCCACTTGAGGCTGGACTACGCAGCAGGTTTGTTTATATTAAAAACAAAAGCCCACGGCCCGTTGTTGTGTTTTTGTTGTTACCAGGTTAAACCTGGGGTCGGCCGACACACTGAGCCCCGGAGCGGCCTACTGAGCCATGCTCATCCTAGTTGCACTTTATGTCACGCCCTCCTAAACTGCACTCCCCCCTGGAGTCTCTGTGGCTGGCGGCCCTGCCTGCAGACTCAGCAGACCTTGGCTTCCTTGAGGGTTAGCTCTGAAATCTGGAAGGACCCTGCGCTCCAAACCAAAGCCCTCAATCCCAGAGCCCCCTGGGCCAGAGGGGGGCTGGCCGCTCCTGAGAACCCTGCACTTGGCTCTTCTGTAACGAAAGAGTCACAAAACTCAGAGAGAACAGAACCCAATTGAAGATCGACCACATTTGTGGTCAGGAAAGAATTTCCCCCCAAGTCATGCTGGCAGGAGGGCGCACACCATTCCTGGAAGTACTGGAATATCCAGTACTCTGGGGAGGTGTGAGTGACTACACTATCTCCCCCCAACTCTAACCCACTAGACCCCACTTCCTTCGCAGAGCTGGGGATAGAAACCAGGAGTCCTGACTCCCCCTTTCCGATCCCCCCTCTAACTCACTAGACCCCATTTCCTTCCCAGAGCTGGGAATAATTGGCTCAATGGAGATGGGGTCTGCTCCTGAAATGGGAGCTGTGACAGGGAGCATTTGTGGGGGGTTGCTCTTTCAGGGAAACAGTGTCAGCATAGCAGGAAGGCAGTATTATAGATGGGGTGGGGAGCTAGCTCCGAGGATCTCTGGGGTGCGGGTAGGGTCCGGCTGGCACATAGCTCTGGCACATTCACTCTGAACAGCTGTGGGGGAGATCTGGGTCTGAGCCCCATTCCAATGGAGGAAGGATCTGTTTGTTCTGAGGTTGGAAGGGAGCAGCTGAATCCAGCCTGGATGAATGCCAGGATGCTGCTAGGGGGAGGGGACAAGCTGCCCCCATGTCAGACCCAGGAGACCAGTTATGATGTATTGGGAACCTGAGCTGGAGATGCCTGAGAATTCACTGCATCTGACAGCTCACTGTATGGATCACAACTGCACAGACATTCCTGTACCGCTTACTCCCATCCCTAGACTGGGAATCGAACCCAAGAGTTCTGACTCTGCCCCCCTCACCACCGCCACATTCTCTCAGTAGCTTTGACAGCATGGTCTAGTGGCAAGACACTGGCCTGGGAAGGAAACCTGCTGAGTTGAGCATTGAAGGGATTGTGAATCAGACTGTTTACACCTTTTTTGTTCTTTTGGGAAATCAAATGACTAAGCAGCAGTTTGGAGAAAAGATGTCTGAGTTAAAATTGTTAAACCATAACAAAAACCACCAAAGAAAGAAAGAAACAAATAAAAACTTGACCCAGAACCAGGACTAAAATGCAGGGAACTGCTTATTGAAATGGCAAGTCTAATCAATGGAATAAAGAGAAAAAAGAAACACACGAGTAACTGAAACAGAGAGGATTTATGCCAAGGTGCAAATGAAGGAGGGACTGAAAAAGATGTTACAAAGGAAAAAAAGTTTGGAAGAGGGTTTGGCAAGTAGAACACAGTAAGGTCTCCAAATGCAGCGTGGTAATGTCCAAGTCTCACCTCCTCATGAGATTACGGTTGCCAATTTTGGTTGAACATATTCCTGGAGGTATCATCACATGACATAATCTTTAATTAAAGATGAATCTTTAATTCTTGGAGACTCCAGGACAATTCGGGAAGATTGGCAACCCTACATCAGATGCTAGCAGTTGTTGCTAAACCCACAGATAAATATAACCCATGACGGGCACAGGTAAGGTTAATCACAAATATCCCTTAATTTGCTGCATCATTGTAGAGTCCTTGAGTTAAAAGCAAAATTCATCCTCCAGGGCAGAGTTAAGGTAATGAGTGCACATCCCTCCATTTCTGATGGTGGGAATGGTTTAATGGTAAAACATAGTAGCCAAGGACATAGTAGCCAATTATTCGACATTGGTGAGGCCTCATCTGGAATACTGTGTCCAGTTTTGGGCCCCACACTACAAGAAGGATGTGGAAAAATTGGAAAGAGTCC